AACTAACCCTTTATAACAAAATGTAAACACCAGAACAATTTTTCCTGGAATGTTATTTTCAAACATTGTTTCCAGAGAAAACAAGTTTCCTGAAAGCAGTACATTGAGTGTGCACTACATGCATGAATGACCTCATTTCCTGTATGTGTATGACTTTATTTCCTTTATACCAGGATGTACCAAACAAACAGTAAACAAGGCACAAGGATATGTATATATAATGTTAACACTTTAAAATTACCTTGCCTTTTTAAGAATTTTGACTTGAAACTAGCTGATGGATATACTTGCCAAAACTATCACTGACAACATTCTTACAATTCCATTGTGTCATGTTATCTTTTACTCAATTATTTTGTTATTGTTTTGTACTTTTTAGTGACCTTACTGCTTTACTTACTGTTTAAAATCAGTGTTGTGTCAATGAATAAATATAAAATGTTATAATTTACACTGGACTCGGTCACCTAATGTGATATGCATTTTAAAAAGTTTAAATTAAAATTTGTTGTATGGTTGTACCATGGAGGTAAATCTATTTTTATCTCATGGTCGTACCATGGTCTACTTGACCCGCCCATGCTGTGCACGTGAGATAACAATATTTTAACACAGAGATAATAAATAAATACTAGTATTTAGATTACACTACCAGTAGTTCTTATAAATCAACCACACTGAAAAAATAAGCCTACACAATAAAGGGTTATATCCATGGGATAGTTATTTATAGAGCTTGTACGCATTACTGAGGACACTAATACTGCCAAAGGCTACAACAGTTCTTCTTGGAAAGAGCCTTTGTAGAGAGTGGTAGACAAGAATCAGTTTGTACAAAGGTTATTCAATTTCTTGGTCCAAGTTTCAGCCTGTCTCATATTTAACATGCCTGGAGTTCTGACTAATTTGAATCATGGATGGCGAAAAGATCTGGCACAAACGATCTGTTCAATTTGACTTAAGATATGGTTTGTTTTTAACCTATTTGCATTAGTCTAATACACATACTACCGGGTAACTTTTATGTTGTCTCCCCCCTTACACTTGTTCTATTGTTCTCTTCATTTCAGTATCTCCTAATTGGGCTGTAATTTTTTCGTGTGTGCTGAACCATAGACCAAAGGTCTATGGCTGAACTCAATGGTTTTATTTTCTCAAGAGTAATTTGACTTTCCTCACACCACCATCCCTCAACACTGTTTGAGCATGGATGTACTAAGAACTTAGTACATCCATGGTTTGAGGGACAGTGCTCACACTCACAGCAACCGACTCTGAAAAGGTTTGGAGACTGCAGTTTAGGTAAGTTTAGGCAGGGAGCTCCATAGTTTAGGTGTCTGCAGCTATTACCATGGGTATTTTGTTTATGTTTGAGCTTTGCTCTATGCCCAGGGACAGGCAGAGATACAAAGCATTTCACATTTTGCTGTTTTTAAGAGTAACTCACTGATTTTTTTGCTACATATCACCTTGCCTGCTTTTTTTTTTGCGAAAGGATGAAGACATTTCGTGCAAGGAGGTAACTTTTTTAGTTAAAAAAAACAAACCATTAGGCCAAGGGGACTGTGGTCTTCACGCTGATTTGAGAGTGTGATGGCCTTTGTTCTAGTTCAATTATATATTCAGAACGCGTCTTTTACAAGGGTTGGATTTAAATGTTACCTCGATATCCAAACTATGAAGAAATACGTCATGAATGTTAGACTATCATTAGTCATGGAGGTAAATTTTACCTCCTTCATAAATCAAATCATAGAACGTCTAAGCACTAGTCACTACAGCCCTTCTTTCGTTGGAGCGTCTAGGAAAGTGTATGGGTTGTTGCAAAGTCCATTGGTAATTACCTACGCGGGAGTTAGGTGTATTTATCTATCTTGCGATCGCTGTAAAAAAACTAACCTCAATCTGGCGATCCGTACGGTTTTTAGTTTTTAGAACAAATCGGAAGCAAACTTACTGCCACGGTTCTACTGAACACTTTGTACGTAGACAGCCATTGTTAACACTCGTGTTGTGATAGCTTATTCTACTGACTCGGAATCGGAACGGTGGATATAAATAAAATCTTAAATGACAGAAAATAATACAAAACCACACTCCACAGTGTCAACACCTCTAGTCCAATGAGTTTGCAAATAGCTAAAGTGTAAAATAAAAGATAGTACTTACTGGTTTCAAAACAGCAGACCAAGACGAATGAAACCTCCTCCAAAGAATTCGCAAGTGTGAAGTCATGTATCGATGCGTACCAATTTATAAGTTTATGTAAATGTGACCTTTACACTAAATGTTTATGTCGCAAATAAGTATACAGTCAAAGGTCAATTTTATGTCGCAAAACCAGGAGTACAATAGATTGCCTGCTCGTCTATTATTCTTCGTCTCCCATTTGGTTTAAACGATAAATAAAAATACACAATTACAGAAAGAAATGATAATAAACGTAAAACATCCACCAAACCTCATTTAAATTGTTAAAGTGTACTGACTGTCGCAAACGAGCACCATGGGGGCGCACTTCAAACCGACAGGACTTGGCAAACAAAATATGGATTGAGGAGGTGAAAAAATAGGTCACGTCGTTATTTTAACCTGAATGAAAAAATGTCTCCCGCGCTTGTCAAGCTGCTGACAGTACAATAACACTACTTGACAAAAGAAGAGGAAGGATTTAAACGGAGTTGAGGAACAGTCACAAACCGTTTCAACGGAAAACAGAAAATATAAATCGGTTTGTTTGGACTTGAAGATACCGGTAACTTATTTTCTCGCCTTCATTTGTTTTTATGCGAGATGTTGATAGTGTATTATTTCCCGTCTGTCGCATATCCGCGAAACTGTATCAAATGAAGATGCTACCTGGGGTCGGATTATTTGGCTATGGGTCCCTTGCCCGTGCTAAAATATCACTACTCCAAGCAGTGGGTTTTAAAGTTGAAGCGGTCTGGGCTCCAACCATGGAACTAGCCAAGGAAATAGCCACTGATATGAACATCCCGTTTTACACGAACCGCGTTGATGACGTGCTATTGAATCATAACGTAGACTTAGTATGCATCAGTAATCCGCCTATAATGCACTCACAGGTTGCAGTGAAGGCATTGGGTATTGGAAAACATGTTATGTGTGAGAAACCCGCTGGGTTGAACGAGATTGATGCATTCAAAATGGTTAACGCTGCCAGGTATTATCCTACCCTAATGTCTATCATGGGTCATGGACTGAGATTTCTGCCTGCATTCTCACGTATGAAGACACTTGTACGAGATGGATACGTTGGGGTTGTGCAATTGTGTGAAATTCGCGTACACTGCGGGAGTATAATAAAGGAGAAATACAACTGGGAATGTGATGAAGGAATGGGAGGTGGCACACTGAGTGTCATTGGTTCACATATGATTGATATCATCACCTACTTAATTAATCAAAAAGCAATCAAAGTGCAAGGACGATTAAAGACTTTGGTTGAGCAGACTGCCAAAATCAATGGTATTCGGCGAATCACAAGTGATGATTTCTGCACTTTTCAAATGGAACTGGATGGAGGTGCTTTTGCCACAATAACGTTGAACTCTCACTGCTCTGGCGTGTTCTCCCAGGAATTACTCATTGTTGGTACAAAAGGTCGTCTTGCTGTCAGAGAAGCTGACTTGTATGGTCAGTCATCAGGCATGACCAAAGAAGAGATAATAGTTGCTGATTCTCTCCTCATATCAGAACAGCAGAGACTTGGGGTTTCTGATGCTGTATTGAAGGAACTGCCACTGCCATACTTCAAAGGTGTTTTGAAGCTTATCTGTGCCCTAAAAGATGCATTTGAGAGAAGAGAGGATAAGCTGAGCTGGGATTCTGAACCAGTATCAATGGCGGCTACATTTGAGGATGGATTGTATGTGCAGGCGGTTATTGATGGCGTCCGCCGTTCTAATCAGACTGGGCTATGGGAAATGGTAGCAATGCTGACTGAGGAGCCGGATGCAAACCCCTATCTGACTTCTGCTGCAGTACATCGTAGTAGACATTCATTTACTTTTACTTAAGATTGATCAAAATAGTTTCCTGGGAATTCTTATGAATGTGATATTACTTTACACGAATTACACAAGTTCATACATGGTACTCTATGCGGAAGAACTAAAACATGACCCATTTAAATAGAAGATAATGAAATAATGTGTCTAGTACCATATTTTTCAAAAATAAAAAATATGGTTATGAATGTATTTGTACAAATACAGCAGTTTTAGTAGTTTGTCCTATGCTAATACATTGACAATAGAATGTGTCCTCATGTGGATACTCCTGTGCATCCACACTTCAAACCCGCCCACATTTGTAGTTGTAACAACTGTATTGATCAACCTTAAAGTGGTGCATCATATCTTATACATGTATGATTCCAAAGTGTTTCAATAGTTAAAGTGTTATTTTCATTGCAAAATGTTTTGTATAAGGTAAAAATATTCATTGGGTTTAATTTTAGCAAATTTAATGTTGTAGGGATAGTCATAATTGTAAATTAATTATCTGATTCGTGAAGGAAAGAATAAACTCTATGTTCTGCTTTTAGTTATCATAGAAATAAGCAAACGCTTAGCACTGAGTATACAAAATGGCGACTACTCAACCCTTAGTTTTGTCAGTGCTTTTTATGTGACTTTAGCCTTGTGTAGTGTTTATGCATTTGTGTCTAAAACAATATTTTCGTAAGATTTGGTCATCTTTTTATGATTATATTTAAACAAAAACAAATTTCAAAATCACAGTTATTGTTGCTTTAATAAAACTTGGTCAATATTTTTATTTTTACATCTTAACTATTTGTTAAGGTAGAAGCCAACTCATAAATTAAAACACCCAGAATTTATTCATTTTGCAATAAATTGTACTCCAAGGCAATATAAGGATATTGACGTAAATAAAGTTGGGGGTCACCAGCCTTTTTTTCGATAAAATTGATGGTTGTATTTTAGTGGAAAGTCGCCATTTTGACACTATTATAACACTTTTACCACAGGTTCTTATGGCAGAGATATTATGCAATATCTCAAAATCTAGCCTGGTGACATAGGCTGAAAAAATCATATATTGTTAATGATGGAGTACTTTTTGTTGTTCTGAATTATTTAAAAAATCTGGGTTTTAAAAAGTGTCAACAAATGCAATTTTTCTTTAACATTGGTGTTCTATAGAATTGTTCTAAAAATAGCAATTTTCAAGAAATATTAGGACACGTTTCTCAAAAAGCATAACTGTAACACACAAAATAATGCTATTACATTGTACCATGAGACATTAGCTTCATGATTGTACATAATATACTAATGAACATTGTCATGCGATTTATTACCAATTTTGTCAAAAATTATGACTAGGCTTCTACCTTAAGTGTTTTGAATAGTGTTCTACTGTGGCTAGGCACATTACAGCAAGTAAACAATGCATGTTTAATATTTGTAGCCAACAAGATCCTTTAACTGGGTCTGTTATTAGTAAGTATGCAATGAGATAATGTGGTTACATGTTTGTAAATGTTTCTGGAAAAACTTATAAATATATGTTATTATACATACCTATATATTATTTGTATAGCAGTAATTTTGTGATTTTTAAAAAATCAAAACAATCATTTTTAACTGTGTGAGGTGCCAATTGAATTTATTTTCAATTAGTCTTAGTTTACTACTGCCAGACACTGGTAAAAACAATCAAAATGTTTTTTTTTGTTTTGTCTTTCTCTTTTGTAAAACATTGTTTGTGTGTCTGTTTCTCCATCATCTTCCTGCCTAAATGTTTCAGTGTCAGATTGACAAATTTGATAATTGTTTGCAGAACTTAATCAAAAGTGATAAGGAACAGCGATAAGTTGTAAATTGTTTATGAAAGTATTTGAGCCAGCCATGCAATGCATTTGTATAATCAGATTATATGCCATTATTTTATGTTTTTTATAATGCAATTTTTAAAGTTATGAGTTTTTTAATTTAATATTTATAATTAAGTTAAAATTAAGTTAAAGGTACTGTATATTCCAGAAGTTTGTTTTTTTATAAATTTACCCACTTAGTTTTTGAAGAGGTGAGGTAATTGAACTCTGGACGCTGTAAGAAGCTACCTATCTCTTTCTTTTTACAATGATGAAATCTTGTGTATTCCTTTTATATGTATCCTGAAAATCTGTGATTTTCCTTACTTAATATCCTCTATTGCTATAGCTTGGTTAGCTTCTTATTAATTTGTTGGTTCCTCGACCCTTGCCAAACTTTGATTTTAATTGTATGTCAATGGGTGATAGTGATGTTAATTGGTTGGTAAATATAGCATGCTGCTAATCAGAATATGGTCATTTTCCAAGCAATGGATGACAGTTGTATGTTTTTCAAACATGCTGTATCAACTGATAGTTGCCACAGAGATAGACTTGCATACAGTCCCTTGTTTATTTGATGTTGTTTTCTCAATAAAATAAAATGTTATAGAAGTGGTCAAGCCGTAAATGGCGAAAGCCGAGTTTTGCGGTAACCCAACTTTCGCAGTAACTCGGCGTTTGCCATTTACACTTCAATAACATTTTATTTTATTTTGAAAACAACAACAAATAAGCAAAGTACTGTATTCAATTCTACCACAGGAATGAACGTGTGACTGCCCCTTTACTTCATGATATTGGAATAAATTTACTTGATTAATGAGCAAAAACAAGGCAACATCAGACTAGTATAAATAGGACAAATGGACCCACAAAATGATAGGAAGTTAACCAGGCTACTATTGCTAATACACTCGTAAAAATAATGTGATCTGTTTTATAAGTTTGTGTTGGTCTTTTTAGATGAACTTTTGAAGTATTTACTGGTACATAATTATAATTATTTCATGAATTGCATTTGTTAATGTTTACTGCAAGTACCCTGTATACATATTTAGCTACAGAAAATTTAAGTAAGTATAATTTTATTATAAAAAATGTAATTATTGTTAATTTCTTTACTACCGGTACTAACAATAATTTAATTACAATTCATTGGAGTATAACAAAGTGTATATACAGGCTGATTTGCTTATAGGACAGCTCAAGTCACTTTTAATCCAGACACCAAATATTATCACCATGTCCCTCGATTTAAATTAAACATTGGTAGTACCCCGTATATATAATGGGAACTCTCAATATTATTTCTATTATCTCCACAAATACAACAATGAATTAAAATAGTGTAACCTATAAATAATCAAGTCCAATTCAGCTGAATTACTTTGTTAAAAATTTCAACCACTCATCCTTCTGTAATCGTGGCAGTCAGGGTAATAGTAATTGTGAAGCAAAATGCATTTACATAATTATATACAGTAAGTAGACTTTTCTACAAAATCTGAATATGATTTCTTATACTATTTTGAGTCTAAAAGTTGTAAAATGTGATCACCTTCAATTCAAATAATACTGAGGTTTATTTGAATTGAAGGTGTTCACATTTTACATGGCAAACATGTAGTTAAACATAAACCACATGAAGACACAGTGATTACAAATGCTGTAATCTTAGTATATTGAACAATTTTTGAATTCTTTGATTCATACAACAATGATAGAGCTAAAGTTATCTGAAAACCACTGTGTGATTTGGGATAGACTTTAATATTTTTGAAATATCTCCATACAAGGACTCCCTGGCTTTCTGAAATACTCTAAAATACTTTAATTTCACTTTTAATCCTGCAAATATACCTTTTTTTCCTATATTTAAAATTCAACTCGTCAAAAATCAGCTAAAATAAATTATTTTACAATATCTTGATATCATGACTACCTTTCTGAAGTATCTCAACCTTATGCATCCCTGCAGCACAGTATCTCTGTACTATTAGTTTTATTACATTAGTGGATATTTTAATTGTAAACATTTGTGTGTTAAAGTAAGCCAATCAAGTTCAGTTCAATGGAGTAAGTTTTATCTTATATACACTATTTAAAGTACTACGGTAATCAAGTGTACTTTGTTTTGAGCGTATGTCTTTCAACAGCTGTTATTTTAACTTTGTTAATTATTGAACAGTATGTATACTTTCATAATATGCATTAAAATTAATTTGCATGTATATTCAAATATACACATTTTGTGGTATGCTAAATTCATATGTATGTATGTATGTATCATTAATTCAGTCAAAGTTACTAGAATAACTATGATTCAATATCAGCCGAACTCAGATTGTGTGAGCATGTTACTCGGCTTATAAGCAATGCATTATGGGAGAGAACTTTCCCTGGTATATACATGTACGTGAATTCGAAGCCTCTTATATGGAAAACTGACTAAATTGAACATAAATTTTTTACTCACTTGTGCGAAGCAAACATTGGGGGTCTTATGTGTGTATGTATGTGTGTTTTTCCCACTTATATCTAAAAATAATTTTCAGATTTAAATGAAGCTTTGTGCATAGATTCTCTGGGTTAATGCTCAGATCTGATTAGTTTTTGGTTGTAATCTGGGCATATTAATGACCTTATTTGCATGTTAATTATCCATAAACATTTTCTCTTTTTCTCAATACATGTAACTACTTAATTTAACTAATTTCAACAAAACTTGTTACATAGATGGTATGGGATAATGGTTGAAATCCGTACATGATAATGACATAATTTGTTTATAAATTTGTTATAAGTTATAGGTGACAACGTTTCCATACTATGTTTTGCCTGTTAAATACATAATAGTGTTGATATTTGTGTGCCGGGATTTTATCCAGTGGGTGTTTCTCCTGCCGGAATTTCTTATGCTACGTGGTCTGACCAAACATCAATTTGAGGTATGAGATATGGTATAATATATTCACTATGATAACCAATGGTATGTTTTGTTAGTGACAAAATGCCCCACTCATTAAAAATATGACCATAAACTGGAGTACAAACATCGCGTTTATATAGTTTCAATTGTTCGTTTTTATTGTTTCCGAAGTTTCTATAATCATGTTTCTGGCAATTCCATTATACTTTCAACGTAATTTTAAAAAAATGGAATTTTGAATATTATTTAATAATTAACAACATAATCGATACATGGAAAATGAATTACTGTGAAAACATCAAATTTTGGGGGAAATGTTCTAAGAAAAATCTAAATCTACAACTTGGCAAACAGTATCTACAGCTTGTTTTAATCTCAGACTAGTATACAAACGATATTTCTCGCTGTTGCAGAGTTTGCAGAAGATTTCCAACATTTTTTTTCGAGAAGGGCACATATCGCTGCGTTTCGAGCGATCATACCATTTTGTGTGTCAACAATAACAGTTTTGTTTTTGTGTTCAGGGGTGCCGAAAGATGGGGTGTGTTATTTTTGTCGCGTTCGACTTCATAGTACTACAACTGTTGTTTGTGTAGCATAATCCTACCGGGCGGGCGGGCGGAACATTACAACCTCCAGCGCCTGGGGTATCATAGTACCAGTAGTACGTGTTATACGCGTTGTTCGTAACTATCGTCCTCAGATTCGCTAAATTTTTCCGTAAATGCCATTTTAGAATTTCGGTGTGGTCATGGAGGTAAAAAGAATTATCTAAGTCTCGCGATTTATCGTGATAGTTGATTGGAATATGAATAGATCTCACGATATTTTGTGAGATCTTATGATAATCTTGTTGCTCCGCAACGCTAACTGGATAAGATAAGAACTGAAAACCTAAACAAACAAACAATCTCGGTTACTAAATTAATAGAAAACGCCGCGTTGCAAGTCTGTTGTATACTAGTCTGAGTTTTAATACACAGGTTATACTATGAAATATACATCGCAAAAGAAACACATTCTGTCGATATTTGGTCGTAAAAGTAGTATTATTTAATTGAAAAAGCATAAAAATACAAACAAAATGAGAGAATTTTTGTGTTTTTGCCAGGCGAAATTATAAATCACCAACCGAGAAATAAAAAAAACATCGCATTATAACTACCATTATCATTATGACTATCCTGTGAATATGTTATCATAAATGGTGTCAACATTTGAGCATGTTTGAAACCCGACTGCAGAATATTGCATCAGACAGAGAAGTAGAAGGTATAAACTTGCAGCTTATCGGCTGAGATAGCTCCGCTGTTAGCAATGCACATTTCAATTAAAGAACTGAAGACATCATTAGAAAATGAACAATATGAATAGTATCAAAGTAATCGGACTTACAGTTTTCAACAAGAAGTCGAAAATATCACTTTTTACCAAAAATAACAAAAATATTCACCAAAATTAGAGAACTGAAGATATCATCACAAAATGAAAAAATCTGAGAAAGGTCTACATGTAGTATCTATATATGTAATATCAAAGCAATTGAACTATTGGTTTTTAACAAGAAGTCGAAAATAACACTTTTTACCAAAAATGACAAAAATATTTACCAAAATTAGAGAATTGAAGATATCAACATGAAATGAACAAACCTAAGAGAGGTCTACCCCAGGTACATATACACCAAGTATCAAAGCATCCAGGCTTGTAGTTTTCAAGAAGAAGTCGAAAAAGTCAAACATTGACACGGACGACGACGACGGACAATCACTCATATGATAAGCTCCGCTCAACAAAGTCGACAGTGGAGCTAAAAAGTTAGGGTCCCATGCGACGTATACAATGCACGTAAGAATACATTGTTATTTCACATGAAATGCGCTGCGTGATAGTTTTCGACACAGACACATTTTTACTTTGACAAGCAGCCTGTCGGCTGAGATAGCTCTGCTGTTAGCAACGCACATTTCGAATAAAGAACAGAAGATATCATTAGAAAATGAACAATATGCATAGTATCAATGCTATGGGACTTGCTGTTTTCAACAAGAATTCAAAAATATAATTTTTAACCATAAATGATTGTGGTTTTTAACAAGAAGAAAATATCACTTTTTACCAAAAATGACAAAAATATTTACCAAAATTAGAGAATTAAAGATATCATTACAAAATGAACAAATCTGAGAGAGGTCCACATGTAGTACCTATATATGTAATATCAAGCAATTGGACTTGCGGTTTTTAAGAAGTTGAAAATATCACTTTTTACCAAAATGACAAAAATATTCACTAAAATTAGAAATTG